TTTTGGTGGGACTGACAGAAGTATACATCTTATAGTAAAAAAACTATTGTTTTTCCTTTTGAATGCCCATGTATGGCTGTCCTTTGGCTGTAACTCTCTTGCCAGGTGTTTAAGACCAAGCTGGTCAATTGACCTTTTTCCTATATATTGTTAAGTGTCAGCTGAGTTTCCTCAGGGTGTCACTCTTGGGAACTTGTGAGAAGCCTCTTAGTTTCTCTAGAGGAATCTTCCAGGATAGATCAGGGTCTTGCTAACCATGCATGGCTTTTGTTGGAAGCATCAGGGACATTTTCTTCTCTAATAACTCTCCTTTTTGCAGAATGTTCACTGGTTGGTGTCCTGTTCTCTAGGGTCCCATTGATCCCTGTGTTTGGGATATTGTGTGGCCCAGAGTTGCAAAGCCCTTAGAGAAGTAGGACTTTTGTCTTGAAAGCAGTGTGGGGGCTATTTAGGTTTTGCTCAGATTAATTTGGGGTGAATGTGGTTTGGGGAAAGACTGATGATACAGAGAGTCTTTTCCAGAAGATAAGGAAGGCTGAACTAAGGTAGTATACTGAAGTGGCAGGAGTAGGTGCGGAGAGAGGTCAGGGTGAAGGGGATGTCACAGACAGCTTGTTCACATTTTTGATCTAAGGGGTAATAAAATTGGAGGCTGAAGAGATGGCCTTCCTTTTGTTAGGTGTAAATGACTAGGTGGTGAGATACTTTTCTTTCACCAAAATAGAAATTCAGCAGATAAAGGTGAAGAGAACGAACTTAGTTTCATAAGAATTATACTATTTATTGACCCAAACTCACAAACCTAGGTCTAAATATATCTTGAAAGCACATGTTGGCTTGGATTGCATTAGGTAATATTCCTGAGGATGAAGTGAGGATTAGAGGTGCAACAGGCAGACCATAGTGGACTTTCCTATTTTCTTCAGATAGCATTATCTGACACTAGACTCTTTGGAATTTGGAGAGTTCTGATTTGCACTATAAAGAAGGCCTGATTGAGACTGCAAACACATTTGAAAAACTGCAATGCAGGTTTGGAGAAAACCACAACATTTTGATAGATGATAATTACAAGTCCAGTTACAACTTCAAATTGTGGAATAAATGATGGCTCTGATTTTATGCTACCAGACTCTTACTGTCCATTTCTCTTGGGTCTCTAAAACAACTTGTAAAAGGCACTCCCTTATTTCCTGAAGATCAGGTGACAACAGATAGCAGGACACACAGCCTATAGGACTTTGCTCATGATCCTAATGCGGTTAAATGTACCAACACCTAATGTGCTGATTATCACATAGATTATCAAAGAAAATAGGGCACTGGGACCATAAATCATATAATTAATTTTCAACTATTATCATATAAAGAGACGTTATTTATTAAACTATGCTGTCAGGTCTAAGGCTTTTAAACAACTTCTTATCACAAGGAACAATATAAAATCATCCACAAAGAACACTTATTTTCTCTTATGTTAGAGTAGGACTGCCACAGGAGGATGCAGACATTGTGTTGTAAAACTCCAGTGGTTATTCATGAAGAGTATGATTTGAACAAATCCCTTTAGAGTTCTGTGATATGGTAGCCCTAGATAAGAGTGAGGGTCATATGAGAGGAAAATACAGAAACATAGGGAAATCAGGCTGATATAAAGCACCAGAACAAAAGTATTGCTGGGAAATAGAAGCGTACAGTAGATGTTAAGGAGCATAGGGTGTGAGATGAAGACAAGTACTTGCCAAGAAGTCATTATGTGAAAAGATTGGAAAAAGGAAGAATGAAGGATCCTTGAAAGAGGGAGAATGGATGATGAAAGTAAAAACAAAAGAGTTCTCTGTAGAATGGAAGGAAGTAGAAAGACAAGTAGGAGTTTGGTGTCCAGAGAGTAGGTCTGTATGTCAGTAGATTTGTCACCATAAACTTAAGCAGTGATATTGTTGAATATGATTGCTATGAAACACGTTTACTTGAGCAATCTCAACTCACTACAATATAAGCATGAAAAACCTCAATATTTCCTGGTAGCTATAATTGTGTATGTTCTGTTGAATTCCCCATCTTATCCCAAATGGATTAAGCCCAGCCACCTTCCACAGTGTCCACTTTGTAAATAAGAAACTCTCCACTCCTTGGTGTACCAAACATACATGAAAACCCATCTCTTTAGTTTCAGCAGTATAAAAATGCTGTTCATCTAGTGGTCCAGTCATGCTGAGAGGTTTACCATCTCTTGACTTTCATGGTCTCCTAAGAATCACACTGTACTTGGCAGTGAACTTTCAGAACATCTCACTTTCCTTTAATGCCAACTAATTGCTCTCTTCTGGTTTTCTTCTATATTGAGAGTTTCTTAGAACAGTGGGAATGGTGGATAGGACTACAATTTTGGCTGACCCAGCATTTCTGACTTAATGTAAGAAGTTGCAGCTGGAAATTTTCTAAGCTTGAAAGCTGGGATACATAATACTCTTTGTTTTCAGATTTGGTCCATCATAATTGATTTTGGCAAAATGAAATTCATATAAGTATTAAATTCTATTCAATTTAAATAGCAAAGGTTTTATGTTGAGAGGAACTCTGTGGACTCCTGGACAATCTGAAAATGAAGAGAAGGTCATGTTGTGAAAATGCCAGGATTTTTGCTATGGGCTTGGTGAGTTTCATGGGAGATAGGGTTGCTAACTCAGGGTGTGTCTTAGAAAGGGATAGCAAACTACTGGGATCTAGTGGAGCCTACTTATTGTACTGGAGTATTTGGGAGGGAAATAATCAGGCTGGCAGGCTTTGCTTCCAGAGTTATAGGGTAGATAGGTGGGAAGGACACAGGGAATATATGACTGCTGTATAATATTTCTATTGACAACACAGAATTTTGGGTCTTCATTCTCTTCTTGGCATAAGGCCAGTTGTCTTATACTTATTTCTTTTCCAGATTTTCTTCATGTTCACTTCTATAGCCTTAGGCATCATCACTGACTTATCTGGTACTAGCCCACTAGAGAAACGATGATTGCTAATAGACCTTCTGTCTGAACAGCCCAGTCCCCAAATGTCTAAATGCAGACCTCATGTTCCACTGAATCATGAGAGTAAATCAGAGCATCCCTGTAATCAAAGGTTTCCCACTTTCATTTTCTCATGCTCTTTTTCCATTCCCATTTAAATGGTAGGGCTCATCTTGCCACATCTGCAATTTAAATGGGAAGTAGAGAAGGAAGCAAATTAATTCATAATAAATTAATTATGCCAGGCTAATAAGTGTGATTGAAAATTGTTAGGGGTGATACTAGACTCAACTGACATAGTTTACATTTTGGTTTACTTCCAAACCAGCAAATAACTCCTGCCAAGTGTACCTGAGATAAGGATGCAAATGAGAGGATACTATTCTTCAGGTAATCAGGGAGCTGAATTTTGGTGGTAAAGTTTCCAATATAAAGTGGGAAAACTGCCAGTTGAACAAACAAAGAAACCATATACTTGTAAACTTAGACTTAAAAGTCTACCTACTTAAGGGAAATTCTTTCAGCACCCAGATGGGCCATAGTTATATGATCTGTGTTCCAGTTTGTTTACATCATTAGGGCCTCAGCATGCATGGCCACATCTTGCCATTGAACTCTGCTCTTCTTAATTTCCATGCTCTTGTTATCGATCTCATTCATTACTGTTTTTAATGCCATCTACATACTAACAGCAGTGAAACGTACATCTTCAATTAGTAACTGATGTTGAGCCCTAGGCCTTGGGATCCAATGGTCAGTGTAACAATACTGATTAATATTTATTCACATGTTCCTCAAATGTCTTATCACCAAGGTCAGCTATCTGTTACCTTTATAGATATTTCTTCTCCCTGAGTCTTTCCACTTCTCAGTAAACGGCACTTCCATTTTTCTGTATTTTCAGTTTGAAACTTGAAATTCATCATTGACTGGCTTTCCTTTTTTCTCCATACATGACCATATCTTCTCTGCTCCCCTTAATTTATTTTTAATGTACCCACTTTTCCTCATCATTCTCCTCTAAGCTAAACTCATTTCTTTCTGTAGACTATTCCCATAGTCTTATCACAGATAATATTTCCCTTTATGTATCTCCAGATTCCCTTTGCTACACAGCAAACACAATCATTGTTTTCAAATGAAATGTATAATATACTTATAGTTTGTCAATAACTTTCTCTGTACTTAGAATGAAAGGAACTTGGACTCATTTTCATAATTTTTGGGCTTGTCAGGATGTGGTAGACAACTGTACCTCGAACACTTTCTTTTGAAATTAAGAAGATGATGTTTTGAATTCTGTTTCTTTCCTTTAGTCTGTGACTCAAAGGATAAAAGATATAGTGTGTATTAAAAGTATTTTTCATTTTTTAAACCTGAAAACAAGGGCAATATAAAGTAGCTTCATTAATTCTTTCCCACTATGAAAGAAAAAGTATCTAGGGATGTGTTACTTCTTAAGGACACAGGCACAGATTATCTGTTTATATTGAGATGAAATAAGGAAAACATGACATCACAGATGGTGAGTGATTTCAATGTTTTTACTCTCAATTTCTATAAACCACAGTAAACATAACCTTAGTTATTATAGCACAATATTAGATGTGATAATGTTAATAATTCTCAATAAACTGAGACCAAATCTGTTTTTTTCCAAATATATTGTTCTTTTTTTCTATTTGTTTCAACTATATGAATATATAATTTTAACTTCAATGAAGTTTGAAATAAATTCCAAAAAACTTTTGTATAAAATAACATAACAGATAACAATAATATAAAAGCTCTTTTATTCATCGCTATATATGATAAAATGAGTAAATACAATTATTAATTATTAAAGTTGATTTAGTCTGTATTTTGAATATATTTGGATGTTTATATTTAATTAAAGTATTCTTTCTAGACCTCTTAAAATTATTTTTATGAGTTAATTATCCAAAGAAGAATTTAAAAATTCACAGATATCCCTCAATTTTGTTGATCATATTAAAACCAAGTCCTTGGTCTACTTGCATTTTTTTTCTTCTTTAAAATATAAATGGTGGTACTTAAAATAATACTAACAACTACCACAGATCCAACCACTGACAACATCAAGGTAGAAATGTTAACTCCAGGGTTTGGTTGGCTTTCATCAGGACCAGGATCTGCTTGGGGGATAAACAAAGCTACGTGTGCAATGTTGGATACTTTTGATATCAAATTGCTTTTGTCTACTGGAAAGGGGTATATATCCCCCAAAGATAAACTTAAAATAACCCTTTTTACTCTAAACTTTTTAAATTTGGATTCATCAGGGCTTAGTGCTGCGGAAAGACATTTGTATCCAAAAAATGTACATAAGCCTAAGGTACTTTGGAAAGATATTCTAACAGGACAATGGAAAGGTCCTGACCCAGTGATAGTCTGGAGTCGGGGCTCTGTTTATGTTTTTCCACAGGAAGAACAGCAGCCGATTTGGATTCCAGAGAGACTAACTAAAACAATTTCTACAGACCAAAAGGAAGATGATTCGACTCAAATCCATAACAGCTGATATCCAGATCTCCAGCTTGGCTATTCTTACATCTGCGACAGTGATTAACCAGGATGGCCGTGATCGTATAGTGGTTAGTACTCTGCGGGTCCGAGAGGAGGCCGCGTGGGTGGAAAAAATCTTCCCGGGCGGTACCGGACATTGGCGGCAGTTTCAAAAAATAAACTTTGTTCCTGCTTGAGTGGCTCTTGATTTTGTGCCCAGCCAGACTGCGGAAGTCTACACTTTGAATGGCAATGAATATGTGGGTTGCATTTTCTTCTGAGATATTTCCTGGTTTAAATGCGAAGGTTTCCTTGGAGTTGGCCTCTTTTGGTAACAGGTTGGTAGTATTAACTTGAAGCGCATCATCAAAATTGTCTCTTAGATCCATAATACTTCTACTTATTCTTATGATATACTGTTGAACTAAGAAAAAAAGTTATGCATGTTGTAGGATCTAGAGTATACCATTTTAAATTCCTTTTTATTTATTCTTTCAAAAATGACTAATCATGAAAAGAGATGCTTATATTTACATCATTATTTACCTTTTGATAGCTGTTAAATTCTGACTTTTACAACTTTGCCAAATGCTAACTTTTTTTTTTTTTTTGGTGAGAAAAGTTTGGACCAGGTTAACATGTGTCATTTGATTAAGTCAAAGAATCAGATTATAAAACTAATTCTTTGTTAAATCATCAATTAAAAACTTCCCCACTCCTCCACCTTTATATCTTCAATTTTGCAATGAGTACCTTTCATTTATAACCATAAAACATTCATCCTTACCTTTTCCAACATCAAAATTATCTCCTGGTGCTGTCCATGTTAGATTGATCTGATTCCCCTCAGATGTGGCATCAAGGTCTGTGATTTGACTTGGTGGGAACTGGTCAGGCAAAGGAAGCTGTGGAACTTGGGATACCACAAATGCACCTCCAGATGCTGTTCTGCTGAAACTCTCCAAAAATGTTTGAGTATCCTCATCATTTTCAGGACTTGGTAGATTCTCTTCAATTTTACCTGTGTTAAAAATTTCCTGGTTTTTAAGGAACAGAACAGTACTAGTACTTTTAAAACTCAACAAATGAAATTCTCCACTGGTCTTTTACTTTTTCTTCATATACATGTCACATTTTACTAAGTTTTGTGACAAAGTCAAAGGTCAAGAAAGAAAAAAGTGTTGTGAAACTGTAACCCAGAAGTATTATATAAAGGTTATAAAAATCATTTGCTCAGTATTGTTTTTAATGATTTCTAGAATATTCTTACACCTGATGTTTTTGAATATATAACATCTAATTGATCAGATATTCTTTTCTTGACTACTACAGATTACCCCTTTACTATCCTATGTCACACAAATTATATAGCTAACTTGGTAATTCAAACACTGCCTATGCATAGGTGATACTGTTCTTCAAAAGTTATGAGATTCATTGACTTTGTTTTTGTGCATTCAAAAATCTTTGGTAAGGGAATTCTATCTTTAGCATCCTGACCAGGATATTGCAGGATACAATCGAATAATGAATTGTTTTGTAATTAAGGGTACTTAGAATGGAAATAATGTTACATAATTCAATAACTGCCCTTTTACAGTCACATAATAATTGTACATATTTATTGAGTACAATATAATGTTTTAACACATGTACACATTGTGTAATTGTCAAGTCAGGGTAATTATATATCCATCACCTTTTATCATTTTTTGTAATTGTGAGAACATTTAGCACTATTAATTTCTTTTTCTTGCCTAGTTGCTTTGGCTAGGACTATTGGTACTGTCAAATAGAACTGGTAAGAGTGGCATTCCTGTAATATTTTCTGATCTTATAGGACAAACTTTTAGATTTTCAGCATTGAGTATAATGTTAACTTTAGGTTTTTCATATGTGGGCTTTTTATGTTGAGCTACTTTTTTTCTAGTTTGTTGAATTTTTTATCATGAAAGACTTAAATTTTGTCAAATTCTTTTTCTGCATCAATTGAAATAATCATTGTCTTATTCTGATAATGTGGTATACTATACTAATTGATTTTTATTGGACTATCCTTGCCCTCAAAAAATAAATCCCACAAGGTCATGGCATATAATCTTTAAAATATACTACTAAATTTTGTTTTCTGATATTTTGTTGGGGACTTTTGTTTCAGTATTCATAAGGAGTTGCAATATCTGAATGTTTGTCTCCAGAATTCATATTCTGCAATCCTAGCCCTTTTGGTGGTAATATTAGGTGGTGGAGCCTTTGGGAGGTGATTAAGTAATGAGGGTAGAGTCTTCATAAATGGAATTTGTGTCCTTATAAAGGAGGTTGAGAGAGTCCTTACCCTTTCTGTTTTGTGGGGTTACAGCTAGAATACAGATATAAACCACGAAGTGGGCTTTCAGCAGACATTAAATTACTGGTGCCTTAATCTTGGACTTCCAAGACTCTGGAACTATGAGAAAAAAAATTCTGTTGTATATAAACTACCCAGTTTAGATTATTTTTATGATAGTAGCTCAAATGGATTAAGATAGGGATACAGTATGCAATGTTTTTTCTTGTAATATTTTTGGCTTTGATATCAGTGCTGGCTTTATAGGATGAATTTGGAAGTAATTGCTCCTTTTCAATTTTAGGGGGGAAAGTTGAGGATTGTTGTTCTTTAAATGTTTTGTGGAATTCACCTGTGAAGCTATCAGGTTCAGGGCTTTTTTTTTGTTGGGATTCATTCTTCTTACTAGTTAGAGGTCTATTCTGATTTTGTATTTCTTTTCATTATAGTCTTGGTAGAGTTTGTGTATCTAGAAATTTCTCATTTTATCTAAGTCATTTAATGTGATTATTTACAATTTTTTTAATACTTTCTTCTAGTTCTTTGTGTTCCTCTAGAATTGGTAATAGTATTCTCACTTTCATTTCTAATATTTGATTTTAGTGATTTATCTCTCTTTTTTTAGTTTATCAAGATAAAATTTCATCATATTTGTTAACCTTTTCAAATAACTCTGATTTTATCGATTTTCTACATTTTTCTATTTTATTTTTGTCTATTCTGATCTGTATTATTTTATATCTCTGCCAAATTTGAATTGTTTGTTTGTCTTTTTCCTAATTCATGAAGTTGAAATGTTAGGCTGTTGACTTGAGATATTTATTCTTTTTTTAATGTAAGCATTTAGAGTTGTAAGTTTCCCTCTTAGTTCTGAATGTATGTGCACTTAAGAATTGTTTTTTTTTCTTGTTCAGTAGATTGTTCTATATAGATCTATCAGATTTTGTTGATTTATTGTGTTGTTAAATTCCTATTTTTCATTATTTATATTTTCTCTGCGTGTTCTCTCATTATTGAAGTCTCAATAATTGAAGTCTCAAATTATCATTGATGAACCTTCTGTTTTAGTATTAAATTCTATGAAGTTTGTATTCATAGTTTGAGGATATATTACTAGGTGGATATATGTTATAATGGCTATATCATTTGCTGTGTTAAATGAACCTTTTATTAATATATAATGCCTTTCTTTGTCTCTTATAAACTTTTTAAATGTAAAAATCTATTTTGTCTTATATTAATATAGCATTCCAGTTCTTTTGATTATTAGTTTCATGGAGTATTTTTTTTAATATGTATTTTTTAGCTTTAGGTGGACACAGTATCTTTATTTTATTTTTATGTGGTACTGAGGATCGAACCCAGTGCCTCATGCATGCTAGGCGAGAGCACTCTACCACTGAGCCAAAACCCCAGCCCTGGGGTATCTTTTTATACTTTTTCACTTTCAAGCTATTTTTGTCCTTGGATCAAAAGTAAATCTCTTATAGCCTTTATATATTTGGATTTAAAACAATCTATTCTGCTATAATCTGTCTTGTGTGTGTGTGTCTGTGTGTCTGTGTATGTGTGTGTGGGGGTGTTGCTAAGGATCAAAACCCAGATCTTGTATATGCTAGGCAAGCACTCTATAACTAAGCTACATCACAATTCTTATCTTTGTCTTTTGATGACAGAATTTAGTCTATTTGTATTTAAGGTAATTACTAATAAGTAGGGCCTTACTTTTGCTATATTTATATTTGTGTTCTTTATGCCTTATAGCTTTTTTGGTCTCTAATTTCCTGTATTACTGTCTTCTTTTTGTGTTTAATTGATTTTTTTGTAGTAAAACATTTTATTTCATTCTTATTTTCTTTTATGTTTATATTATAGCCTTTTTGTTGTAACATAGATTATATTTAAAATCTAAATTAATAACATTCTAATTTGAAATCATACCAGCTTAACTGCAAAGGGATATAAAACCCCTGCTCTTATACGGTTCTGTACACATCGCCTCTCAAGTACTGGTGTTATAAATTGTATTGCCTTGTGTGTCCAAAAACATGGACAAATAATTGTTTTTACTCATTAGTTTCTTAAATCATGTTGAAAATAAAAAATGTTGTAGAAACCAAAAATACAACAAAAGTAGCTTTGATAATTTCTCATGTATTTTCTTTTTTTCAGAGATTTTTATTTCTTAATTTGGCTTGAGAATATTTCCTGATTTTTTCATTTTGAACTGAGAGATTCTGTTTAATTTTTTTTTTTGCAGGGCAGATCTAGTGATAATTAACTACCTTAACTTTTGTTTATTCAAGAAAATCAACTTTCTCTTATTTTTGAAGGATAGCTTTGTTGGATACAGGGTTTCAGTTGACAGTTTTCTTCTTTCAGCCTTCAGATATTCTCCCTGCCCTGTTCTATCTACTCTTTTTCTTCTGAGACTATTACTATGTGCATATTGATCCACAAGAGTTCTTCCACAGATCCTTTCAGCCCTTTTCACTTTTCTGCAACTTTTTCTTTCTGTTCCTCAAATAAAATAGTTTTAATTTTCTTAACTTCAAGTTCTCTGTTTTTTCATTCTTCCCACTGAAATCTTTAGAATCTGTGTAATAAATTTTTAATTTCAGTTATAATTGTCAGCTCTAGAATTTATTTTTGGGTCCTATTTATATTTTTTAACTATTGATATTGCCATTGTGTTCACATTTTTTCCCCCTTGACTGTGCACATCTTCCTTTAGTTCTTTGAGCATCTTTTTAAAAGGTTGTTTCAAAGTCTTTGTCTAATCAATCTACACCTGGTCTTCCTCAGGGACATTCCTTATCAATTTTTTTTTTGGATGGGCCATACTTTCCTGTTTCATTATATACATTGTGATTTTTGTTGTTGTTGGAAACTAGACATTTGAATATTATATGTGATAATCCTGGAAATCAGTTCACCCTTTTTCAGAGTTTTCTGTTTTAAAGAAATAATCATAGAGTTCCTTTATGACATAAATGAGCCTGAGGTGTAAACTTAAGGATTCTCTGTTCTTTTGTGAGCCTATGTTTTTCCTTAGACATGCATGGTGACTTTCTAAATTACCTACATATGTGGTTGCATTTGAATGTCATAATCTTTAAGTGTTGGGATCCCAAAAGTGGTAATAGGGAAAAATGACAGAGAAAAAAACAATCTGTCTTTTTAAGTCCCTTGAAAACTGCTTCAACTGGAGGGGCTGCTTCTGTTCTATTCTCCATAATCGGAAAGAACATTTAGCTAGTAGTGAGGGTAAGGTTTTATTGCCCACCCTGACTCATTCAACCACCCCCAGAGTATGGACCATATGCCATGGAACTAGAAGGAAAGAGTAATTGCTATGAGAATAAGAGCTGAAATTAACCTCAGTTTCCTGCAAAGTATAATTGAAATCTTCCCCAGGAAGCTGAAAGCATTCAAATAAATTCTAGAGTTCCATACTCATTATATTAGACAAATTATGCCAGTACAAGTATTCTCTAGGTAGAGATATGGATTCCTGGCACTGCCTACTCTGCTGTCTTCCCTGATAGCAATTCATCAAGAATGTATACTTTTTTCAAATTTTTCTTTTTTTTTATTGGTTGTTCAAAACATTACAAAGCTCTTGACATATCATATTTCATACATTAGATTCAAGTGGGTTATGAACTCCCATTTTTACCCCAAATACAGATTGCAGAATCACATTGGTTACACATCCACATTTTTACATAATGCCCTATTAGTAACTGTTGTATTCTGCTACCTTTCCTATCCTCTACTATTCCCCCTCCCCTCCCCTCCCATCTTCCCTCTCTGCCCCATCTACTGTAATTCATTTCTCTCCTTGTTTATTTTCCCATTCCCCTCACAACCTCTTATATGTAATTTTGTATAACAATGAGGGTCTCCTTCCATTTCCATGCAATTTCCCTTTTCTCTACCTTTCCCTTCCACCTCATGTCTCTGTTTAATGTTAATCTTTTCTTCCTGCTCTTCCTCCCTGCTCTGTTCTTAGTTGCTCTCATTATATCAAAGAAGACATTTGGTATTTGTTTTTTAGGGATTGGCTAACTTCACTAAGCATAATCTGCTCTAGTGCCATCAATTTCCCTGCAAATTCCATGATTTTGTCATTTTTTAGTGCTGAGTAATACCCCATGGTGTATAAATGCCACATTTTTTTTTTATCCATTCATCTATTGAAGGGCATCTGGGTTGGTTCCACAGTCTAGCAATTGTGAATTGTGCTGCTATGAACATCCATGTGGCAGTATCCCTGTAATACGCTCTTTTAAGGTCTTCAGGGAATAGTCCGAGAAGGGCAATAGCTGGGTCTCAAATTTTTCTTTTTTCACTGTGTGCATTATAGTTACACATAATGGTGGGATGGATTTGTGTTACATATTCATACATGCACTTAGTATAACAATATAATTTGGCTGATATCATTCCCTAGTGTTTCCCTTTTTCCTCCCTTAGTCCTTTTACTCTACTCTACTGATCTCCCTTTGATTTAAGAATATATCCTTTTTTTTTTGATACTGGGGTTTAAACTCTGGGGCACTCAACCACTAAGCCACATCTCCAGTTCTATTTTGTATTTTATTTAGAGACAGGGTCTTACTGAGTTGCTTAGTGCCTCACTTTTGCTGAGACTGGCTTTGAACTTGCAATCCTCCTGCCTCAGCCTCCTGCGCCACCTGTAATTCACAGGTGTGTGCTACTGTGGGCGACTAAGAATGTATTCTTAATCCTCATCACTATGTGAAACCATACATTTTTTTCCTTTTAATTTAATAAATTGTTTTCTTATTAACATTTCTTTTATAGCATATGTAATCTGAGGGATGAATTTTGCTACTGGCTTGTATTTAACTTTATGACATATAGGCTTGTTTCCTTTGGCCTGAGCTGAAAATTTGATTTATTATTGTTGATCTTTGTAAGGTGCTCCAAATTAATATAATAACATCTGACATTTACTGAATGCTTACTAGACACCAGATACTATGCTATGTCTTAGATTAATTTGGAGGCAAATCTCAATATGACTGAGATCATCAGTACAGAAATATGAGAAGTTATATAGTTGGCCCTTTATTTTTGCAGGTTCCATGTTGGAAGATTTAACAAATGATGGATCAAAATTATGTTTTTAAAAATATTTATGTTTGACCCTTGTACTGAATATGTACAGACTTTTTCTTATCATTATCCCTAAGTAACATAGTATATCAATTATTTACATGGCATTTAAATGGTATTAAGTATTATAAGTAATCTAGAAATAATTTAAAGTGTGCAGGAATATGTGTATGTGTTATGCAAATACTATAACATTGAAATAAGAGACTTAAACATCCATGAAGTTTGGTATCCATGATGGGTCATAGAACAAACAAATAAGTATTTCCATATACTTAGAAATAACTATACTTTGAGTTATAAAATCTTTAAAGCTTTAATCATATCACCCCATAAATATTATTCAAACCAGCACTGGATTTCTGAGGTAATGAAGTACTCACCATTGACTACCCAGCCTGAGAGACGTGCAGCAGTATTCAGTGGGTGTTTTAAGCTTCTCATGGCAGTATTTGTTCCTCCATAAGCCTGTACTTTTAAGCTATATATTCCATTTTCTTCATAAGCTGTGAAGTACCTGGAGTATACCCCATCATCCTTGTAAGAATCAGCACCTTATTATAGAAAGAAGGAAGAAGTTATTATTTAAAAAAAGAGAAATTTATTATTTTCTAAGCCAAGCATATAGGGCTACCGTCTCCAAAATAGAGAATATTTCCATTATGCTTTGGTAGAGCATAATATCTTGTGTTGATAGTTTTGAAGAATTATGAAATATATAGATTTGTGGATATATTTCATATTACTTATGGCATTATAAATTCATGTTATTTAATATATATACAATAAATACCTCACATGTGTATGATGAGTACCTCATACATATGTGCATGTATGTATGATAAATACCTCTGGCCCTTAACATATTATATTGAGATTATCCTATTATCCTTCTTATTGTTTTCCCAGCTAAATGGCCTAATTTTAGCTTTATATAAACATTAATTATGCCATCTCTGTTCAATTCAAAAGGCCTTACTAAAGATGTATCTTTGCTTAGTATTGAGTTCTTATCCTCATCAACTACCAAGTATCTATTTAGACTTAGCTTCCACTTTATATATTTTTTAATCCATGGTTCTTGCTTTCTTGATTCATTAGCTCTCTGGTCTGTCAGTGGAAAAATCCCATTTACTTTTAGAATGAATATCTAGGGGACTCAAGAATACTGTGTTATAAGTATACATCTAGATTATTACCAGCATTGGAGTTCCTCATTAAATTCCCAATTCATTTTCCAGGGGGTTTTATACTCTAACTCAGAGATCCTGAAGTGATATCCTTAGTCCAGGAGCATCTGCTTTTCTCTGAATTGTTTTCAGAAATGCATGCTTTCTTCCAGCTATGGGAATTACTCTTCTCTCCCTTTTCCTCCCAAGGGCCTGGGTTAATCCCATCTGACTGCTTGGCTTCATCCTCCTTGGCCAGACTCTTTTGATGATGCTCCCCCTAAGAAGCAAATGTGTATATTGATTCTATCCTTGCTCTCCTGAAAGAGACCTTCTTAACTGGTGAGAGACAATGGGCTCTCTAGTGACAAGCAATAAAGATGACAATAAATAACATTTATTGAGTGGTTAGCATTCGCAAGACACTTGCACTTTGTAGGTTTTACCTTATAGAATTTCCTGCTGGTTCTGCTATTCTTTGGGTACCTGTCTTTCTGCCCCAGGCTACCACAGAGCCCCTTACTATATCCTGGGTTATAACAATATAAGCTTATTCATAAAAGTCTGTGAATCACCTGCACCATTGTCCAAAAGTTCCAAAACTTGTGTTTTTCCACTGTTTGATTCAATAAAAGCAGTCACACTGGCTCCAATAATGGGGACATATCCTTGTAGAACTTGTGCATAAATGATCATCGGGCTGGGGAAACTGTTTGTGTCTTTGTTCATTTTAGCATTCACTGTGATTGGAGGCACAGAAGAATTTGCTGCCCGAGAAGTTACTGTCATTGTTAGTGTTTCTGGGTTTGCTTTGGCCCGAAGACTGTAAGTCCAAATGCCCACCTAAAATTTTCATGGAAATATAATAAGTTTCTGTTGGCAAGCCATTTTCTGTGTTTCCATTATGCAACTTGAAAAAAAATCTTGTAAGAGAAACCAAACAGACTTTTGAGGGATTTCATGATATCCCATGATAAGAACTAAGGCAATTCATTTATAGAATCTTGATTAATGTCATGAATAGTGTCTACATCTGGTGAAATTTCTGGTTGGAAATACATAGTTTGAAAGGTGGTCTATATTTAGGTCTTTATTCTTTGGCTTGAACCTATGCATTGCATTCTTTTTTTAAAAAAATTTTTAAGTTGTATATGGACACAATATCTTTATTTATTTATTTTTATGTGGTGCTGAGGAATGAACCCAGTGCCTCACACGTGTTAGGCAAGCGCTCTACCGCTGAGCCACAACCCCAGCCTTATACATTGCATTTTAATTGGAGTTAATTAGGAAGGAAATTTTAGCAATGTGTATGCCGTGTTCAAAAGATCTCTTACATTTACTCTTCAAAACTTTTTAAAGGTAACTTATATTTTATGTCCCCCCTCTCCCCACCGCTTTTTTCTTCTTACTCCTACTTAAGTTCTTTTTTTTCCTCCTTCCATAAAATTCTTAGGATCACACATAGATGGAAATAACATTCTATTTTACCATAATTTTGAACATGATATCATTATTGGCACACAGACATTTAAAAATTACATTTATAGCATTAAAGAATTTGTTTTTATGTTCTGAAATTTTTTTGAAAGAAATATAGAAGCTGATTGCTTACCCGTGCATTTCCTGGAATACTGAGATAGGCCATTTTGGAATGACTGTCCACTATGAAACTTCTCATCAGTGTTCCATTAGGATCCCAGAGAGAAATAGTAGGAGGCTGATTATCCCATGTGATGAAAAAGAATGAGTCTTTTCCCACTGTGCTATCAATTACTAGAGAGCCATTCATCCAGGGATTGTTGTTCAGTGCTAATCCCTTACTTTCAAGCTGTTTAAATTAATTTAAAAAAAATAATGATTGCAGAAGAGAATATTATATTCTTTTTAAGATGATTCTTACTTTTTGGCCTGAGAGCAAACTTACATATTACATACAACCATAGATTCATGATCTTTCTAAAGCTGATTGGGATGTGAGAATTGTCAGAAAGCACAGAAATATGGGGTCTGAGTAAAGAATAGAGTGCATTGAAAGTCTTAGAGCAGAGACTGGGTTATGCAGTTGGAAGTATAGCCCTATTATTATTTCATAGTTGTCATGGCAAATACCCACCCAAGGCTTTAGCATTTAAGGATGGTGTAACAATAGAACATAATTAACTGTAGGGGGTGTACTTGTGTGTGTTTGCACCAACCCTTGTTTGTATATCTTCATGACCTAAAAGAAAATACAGGGGCTGGAGATGTGGCTCAAGTGGTAGCGCACTTGCCCAGCGTGTGTGAGGCACTGTGTTCAATTCTTGGCACCACATAAAAATAAAATAAAGATATTTAAAAGAATAAAATACATATTGGTGAATAGAGTAATTATTATTTTATTTTTTTGGTACTGGGGATTGGACCCAGGGCACTTAACCACTGATCCACATCCCCAGCCCTTTGTTATTGTTTATTTTGAGTCAGGGTCTTGCTAACAGGTTAGGGCCTTGCTAAATTGCTGAGGATGACTTTGAACTTGAGTTCTTCCTACTTCAGTATACTGAGCTGCTGGTATTATAGGTGTGCACCACTGCACCAAGCTGGATAGAATATTTAAGTAGAGATAGTCAGGGGGACCTCAACACAAAAAGGAATATTAGCATATAACTGGGACAATTTCACCATGGTTTTTTCTCCATGTGAGAGTTTAATTTTTTTTCACAGACAATAGAGTGAGTAGTCCCTGAGTAAAAAATATGTCCAGGAAGAGAACAAACAAATAGGGCAAGCTGATGTCTATGAAAGTTGGAATCCTGAGAGGCAAGAAAATGAGATGGAATTTCTCTGAGAGGAGCTTTGAAGAAAAAGTTTTTAGAAACTTTGCAGATAATCCTTAGTCAGAAAATTCAACTTTATGACCAAGAAGATGTTTCCTAGAATGGTGTCATTTCAGGAACAGTGGGAAGTACCACTTCTATTCCAATTTAGTCCTAAACCCACCTTGACTCCATTTCTGAAGGAAGTAAGAGAATTCTACCATTCAAACATCAATGATCTGATTAAAATCTCAGTCTTCTATTAAGTCCTTGAGTGGACAAAGTATTATCAAGTTAAATATGAATGTGAATACCTTTTAGGCTTTTATCAGAAATTACTAATAAAGGAAGAGCTCTGGCTCTATAGTAGTACTTAGGGAAGATAACCCAGTGGAGTGTGGAGTGCAGCTTTCCTTCCATATATCACCTGCCATCATTCAAGTACAAGTTCTCACCAACTTATATGTTATCATCATTCTTTAGTTAGACCAGTTGAAAAGCTCAGAATGTCCTGTATTCTCCTTCAGTTTTACCTCTCTTGACAGCCAGGTACATCTCTAAACCAATTTGTAGAACAGGTTTCAGCTAAATTTACAGACAGATTTTCAAATCAATCTGTGCCTATTCAAAGTCTGCATCCTAGGATATCTGCTCTTCATTGTTGAGAGGAAGAAAATAGGTTTATTAATATAGGCTGTAATTTGACGAACTAAAAGATGGGATACATTAGTTTTGATATAAAGTGATATGATATAGACTTGGTAAGAGTAAATATGGCAAGAAATCGATTTTTGTAAAACATTTTGAAGGAAACAATCTTTGTTGACATTTGTACACATCATGTACATGAACAAAGAAGAGTCAAGGCTACTCAAAGATTTTGAGTCTAAGTAACAACAGTAATACTATTGAGATCCAGATGTTGGGAAAATGAATTGAATTCAGGAGAAGGTATAAAATAAAAAGCCAGTTGGACTGCTAGAAGAAAATATAGGGTTAATACTCCAACATATTGTGCAGGTACTTACTTCCCAAATAAGACTCCTGGAGCTCAAGAAATAAAACCAAAAATAAATAAGTGGGATGGCATTAAATTTAAAAGCTCTGTATAGCAAAGGGAATGATTAAAAGCATGAAGAGAAAGCCTACAGAATGTGAGCAAAATCTTTGACAGCTACTCCTTTGACAGGGGATTAATATTCAGAATACTTAAAGAACTCAAAAAACTTAATACCAAGAAACCAGATAACCTAATCAATAAATGGGCAAAAGAACTAAATAGGTATTTCTCAAAAGAAGAAATACAAATGACCAACAAACATATGTAAACATGTTCAACTTCCCTAACAATCAGGGAAATGCAAATCAAAACTTCATTGAGATTTCATCTCATTCCAGTCAAAATCATAATTATCAAGAATACAAATACTATAAGTACTGGAAAGGATGTTGGGGAAAAGGTACACATTGATATATTGTTGGTGGGACTGCAAATTAGCACCTCTCTGAAAAGCAGTATTGAGATTCCTTAAAAAACTAGGAATGGCACCACCATATAATCCAGCTAACCCATTCCTTGGTATTTATCCAAAAGAACTAAAAGAGTATAGTATAGTGATATAGTCACATCAATATTTATAGCAGTGCACCACATAATAGCAAAGTTATGCAACCAGCTCAGGTTCTTCAATAGGTGAATGGATTAAAATATTTTATATATATATATACACACACACACACACACACACACACACAATGAAGTTTTACTCAGCCATAAAGAAGAATGAAATTATTATATTTTCTGGTAAATATATGTAACTGGAGAATATTGTGCTAAATATGGCAATAAATTGATTTTTGTAAAACATTTTGAAGGAAACAATCTTTGTTGACATTTGTACACATCATGTACATGAATAAAGAAGAGTCAGGATTACTCACAGGTTTTGAGCCTAAGTAACAATAGTAATACTATTGAGACTCAGAAAATCAAGAGTCAAATGTTTTCTCTCAAATGTGGAAGCTAGAGCAAAATAAGGGAAAAATCATCAGAAGACATAAGAATAGAGGGAAGACAAGTGGAGTGGAAGGAGGCTAGAAGGGGGAGGGAAGGAAATTATGCTACGTGTATGTATAAATATACTACAGTGAATTCTACCTGTTTGTATATCTATAAAGCGCCAATTAAAAATAAATAGATTAATAAACATAAGGAAGACAAGTAGAAGAGTAGAGGAAGGGGAATAAGGGTAGGAAGAAAGAGAGGGAAAGAGGAAGTCTGGGGACTGAAATGGAGCAAATTAAATTTCATACATGTATGATTATGTCAAAATAATCTCAACTAGATATAACTATAATGCACTAACAAAAGCATAAAAAAACAACAAAAAATCCACTTGGAAAAATGTTTGAAGAGTCAAAAGAAAGAACTATGATCATAGATAAGTAATGATTATTGACTCATTCCTGCTTAATTTATTTTTCAAGAGATATTCTCTCCATTTCCAACCTAAATTGTTGAGTTCAGTTTTATGACTTTGAATCTATTTCACAGTTGGCAAGGGGTGGGGTGGGTGGAAGACTTGGAAGTAGGAGATTTTCTAGCAAATTCTTAGAATAATGGATATTATATCTTTGTAAAAAGGTCTAACTTTAGGAATGAAAATTTGACATTGTTAGGTTTTGATGTTATTTCTTAAACTAAACATTCTGAGAAAGAAACCGTATATATCTGTCAGTGCTGTGTATTCACAGATGTTCTTTAAATTTAAATATTCTTACTTTATTAGAATAAATGGACTAGAAATTCACAATATTCTCACTTTTTATTGTTCCGAAAGTTTAAAAGTTTATAACGAATGGCCATGGGGGTGGGGAGCATGAGAGGAATGGAGGAACTTTAGATAGGGCAAAGGGGATAGAGGGGAAAGAAGGGAGCAAGGGGATAGGAATGATGGTGGAATGTGTTAGACATCATTACCCTAAGTACATGTATGAAGACATGAATGGTGTGAAAATACTTTGTGTACAATCAGTGACTTGAAAAATTGTTCTTTATATGTGCAATATGAAATGAATTACATTCTGCCATCATGTATAACAAATTAGAATAAATAATTAATTTAATAAAAAATTAAATTAAATTTTAAAAAAGAGACAATTGAGGACCAGAAGGTGAAGAATTGCACTTAATATAATTAGAATTTAAACCTAGCATTTCATGTTGGAAACATACACTAGAATGTCATGCAATTCAGAAAAGGGTGTGAGATTCTATAGGGTAGGAGTAGCAAGCAAAGCTACAAGAAGGAGAGAAGATTTTGAAGAACTGGTAGAATTATAACATGCAAAGACAGGAAAGAAAAAACATTTTGGCAGAGAAATTGCATGAGCGAAAGTATGGGGCAACTAGCATTTGGTGGGCTTGGAGTACAATACGTGCAGTAAATTTTTGGAGCATAGAGGAGAAGGGAAGAACTGAGAAGAAGGCTGGGAAGGTAAAAGAAGCTGGAAGGCTCCGAATAACATCAGGCAGACAAATTCAGATTTAATTTTATAGACTGAGGGGACAGAGAGGATTTCTAAGAAGGAAAATGACACTGATATTGATTATAAGTGCAAGATGACCATTTGTATAAAAGTGAGATTCATAATAGCAGCTATTATACATCATATATTACTTGAGAGTATAGCATTACGGTTCTAAATATGTAAATGTATCATTTCATTTAAACTTCATAATAATCCTATATTGTGGACATTCTTGGCCCAAAGTATTGTTATACAAGGTAATTTGTTTGTTGCCCTAAAAATTGGTGACTTTTGCTGCCTTAGAACATTCATTTAACAACCATTTATTTAGCACTGATTTTTGCATGATAACAAGACAGACACAATACACAAAGTGAATTTTTATCCATTTATTCACCCAACATTTTATTCATTGAGTAAATTATTCATTTAAAAATTATTTGAGTTTGTTTCTATGGGCTTAGTGCTGTGCTTTTAATTATGTTAAAAACAGCAGAAAGTATGTGCAGTAGCAATTAACAGAAATTTCCTTACAAATTAAAGAAGTCTAACTATTTTTGAGAGAAAATTTTCACCTGAAATGCAGCTTCAATTCCAGAGCAGATGGAAATTCCTCCTGAAGCTTCTGTAGGTAAACTCTCTAAGAGCTTTCTTCTTTCATTGTCACTTATTATTTGAACTAGCTGACTTTTGACTTGGGCAGTGATATCATACTCAACTATTCCTACAGGAACCATTTTTAATGGTTTGAAGCAGGAAATATTTGGCTGCTTGATTCATTCGATTTAGCCGGTTAGAATCCTAAATAATAAACCACAGGAAAAAGAACCAAATAGTTTTGACTAAAGTATAACAACAGACCCACAAAATATGTTGATAAGACTTTTCTATAAATGGTAACTGGTCTTATTAAAGGAAGCAATTATAATTTTTTACAATTTATAAAATAGAAAAATAGTGTTATATATATTACAGAACATGTGTAGTTATGAAGGAGCTCATCTCTCTTTAACTAGAGATGATTCTTGGTCACTAAGCAACCAAATTAGTTATGGGGAGAGAATGAGGAATGGATTGAAATTGGGGACTGATAATGCACATTGTAGAGACTCTAAGGAGTAATAACTCCTTTAAATACTCCTTTAAGGAGTAATAACTCCTTAAAGTCTCGGTGCCAGTTGGTTCAAAATAAAACTGCCCTAGAGCTCACAGAATCAATTCATGCTGTGGTGGATGGACCTCAGTCAGAGACTGAAGTCTTTTCATCAGTTGGGGACTAAATTACTCCAAAGGCAAAACTTAACAGAGATTCAAATGAATCCAGAGAGACTCAGTTCTTGTCTCTGGAAAAAAATATGTGTGTGTGTGTGTGTGTGTGTGTGTGTGTGTGTGTATAACTTTCAAACATACCTTCCCCATTTGGTGAAGAATGTATTTTTGATCTTTAGCATTCTCTATTCTGCCTCAACTATGCCATCCTACTGGGTATTTCATCATATTGCATCTGTTTGTTTGTAATCCATTCATTTCAACAATTATTTATTGATTATCCATATGTGATAAAGTCTGCTCTAAGGCCATAGGGATGCAAAGATGCATCATAAAAAGTTTTGATTTCTCATGAAGCTCCCAATGTATTAGGGAAAGGCATTTAATCTATTCTGGGGAATGAGGATAAAAATATAAATAAGACATGAATCCAAGTCCTAGAGAAGTTCCCAGTCTATTATGGTTTAGATATGAAGTATCCCCCCAAAGCTCATGTATGAGACAGTGTAAGAATTTTCAGAGGTGAAATGATTGGTTTATTGAGAGCCTTATCCTAATCAGTGCATTAATCACAGATATGGATTAATTGAGCAGTAACTATAGGCAGGTAGATATGGCTAGAGGAGGTAGGTCACTGGGGGTGTGACTTTGGTTTTATATTTTGTCCCTAGTGAGCAGAGCTCCTTCTCTTCTTCCTGTTGCCATGTGATGAGCTGCTCTCCTCCACTGTGCCCTTCTGTCATGGTATTCTGCCTGACCTCTGGCCCACAGTCATGGAACCAGCTATCTATGGACTGAACCTCTGTACCATGAATCCCAGATAAACTTTTCCTTAGCTAATTGTTCTTGTTAGGTCTTTTGGTCAAAGCCATGAAAACAAAAGTGACTAAAACATAGTCTTAGGAGAGATGTTGTGTCTGATATCAAAATAATATATGGAGACCATCAGAAGGACCCTTAGTCCATCTACTCCTGGAGAACATAGGTACCTTTACCAAATTTTGAAGGATGAGTCTGAGTTAACCTGCTAAAAAAGAAAGAGTAAGAAAATGTTATGTATTCAACTAGACACTCCTCAAGTACATGGATCTCTATTCTTAAAGTCTAGCACAAATACCTACTATTTACTGAATGTAGAAATTACTGGTTGGATATTGCCATTTATTTTTCATGGTGATGAATTTTACTTGGTTTTCTGAACATAAATCATTTATATAGGTGGTACACATCAGATAAAGCTGCATTAAGAATTCTTATTTATCTTGTTCCTTGATCTGAATTATAGAGTTCGGCAGCCCCTAATCCACTTTATTTTCATGTCTTTCAATTATTTCCAGTAGATAAAAAAGCAAAGAAAATATTTCCATATTTCAATCTATAATTCTGAGTCTCTAAATTAAAGCATTACTAAGGGCCTAAAAGTCTTAATACTAAGACTTCACCCTTTTCTGGAACAAAAGGATACTTCAGTTTGGCTTGTTTAACTCTGTTGGCAACTTTCCTTCAATAAAATATTTCACTGTCCTTCTTGAGGTCCTTACTACAAAAAGTAGTGTCACTTTTTGTCATTGTGCAATTTAGAATAACCCATGTACAGGAAGAGCTCAGAGGGTTCTTATCTATTCAATCTTATGAAACTTACCTTCATGTTTTCAGACTTATCAAGAACTAAACACACAATTCTTTCACTGATCCTCAGCAATGAGAAGGCAGGTGGAGGGGGCAGTGCCACCATAGGCATGGTGTTTTTAAAATCCTCAGAATTGCTGATTACTTCCCATGTACTTCTGAAATTGCACTTTATATTGTGTAGGCTTGGAGCTTCTTGGTTATGTTTTTTTGCATTACAGAATTCAACAACCTGGGAGGTTAATATAATGAAAAAATATTTTATACATTTGAAAATCTGTAAATCAACCAAATGTCAATCTCTTAGGCAATTTTGTTTTTTGAATAAAATATGACTTATTCAATAAAAATTATAAGGCACATTTTCAATAATTATAATGATAATAACTAAAACCAAGAGCTTACCATGTGCCCATCAATGTTAAAAGAGCTTTTTATTAATACTAATACATTTAATCCCTTAGTTCACCTGTAGAGATGTTTTTAAAATATATGTTCTTTGATTATAAATTCTTATAATATTTAGGTATTGGCATACTTACAGAATCGATACTTTGCGTAAACATTATGGATGCTTTTTTCTGTTTGAATTTTATCAGGTAAGAATTGACAGTTCTTTTCTTTCTTTTGTTGTATAATTAATTCTACATGGTATATTTACACAACTGCCTCCTTGACACTTATAAACTCTATTTCTGCCGGTGATACCTGTGGAACACCTGAGAATATTTGACAATTAATCTTTGAGGCAATTTAGTCATTAGCTTAAAAAAATCTTTACAGGTTGTATTTATGATGATCATAGTTTTTCTTCTTATTGTATACTGTATACATCCTATTTTGCTTTAAAGAATTAAAAGTTCCTATCAAAGCAATTATCTATTTTCCAGATATTGCAGAGGGAAATTTTTGGTAGGACTTCTTGATAGATGAAATGGCTGAGTTCTTTATGGGATTAGTTGCTGCTGTCTTGTTTGCACTAATGGCTAGAAGTTCCCCTCTCCCAGATCTCTTTCCTGCTGGCCTTATGTTGGTAAGTCAGGCACCTGGATGAGGGAATTAGAAAACCAATCACTCTGGATATCACCTTAATTTTAAGTTATTTGTAGATTTCTTTTTAAAAGAGACTTCTCCAGAGGGATATGTCATGACATAGCCACAAGTGTTTCGATTATTCAAGGAGAATTTTTATCCAAAGGGAAATGTGACTGTGAGAAGACAGTGAGGTGCTGTCAAGAAGGATGATACAATAAAAATTATGGAGGCATTTTAGACACATGTTTATTGCATGGAATCAGCCACAAGTGATAGTGATTATAGCAAATATACTGGGATGTAACTGTATCTCATCTTTTCCATAGGCTCCAGTTCAAATTGGAAATGATGACTGGATTTCATTGTCATTTAGTGAGTATCCTAATATGTATGCTTCCATTGCCCAAAACTTGGTGGATCTGTATGAACAATCATGATGAATATTCTGCAGTAGGAACTAGATATTTAGGAGGAATATGACATAAACAAATGTAATCAATGTAATACTTTTAAAAATATTCCCCTGAAAACTGATGCAATGGAGTAGAGGAAAGGTCTTTGTTGAAATCCTGTACCTTTCAGTTTGTTCATTATGATAAATCCCTAGCCCCAGGAAGACATATGACATTCATGAAGTTAATGGCACCCAATTTTAAGAGGATTCCCCCAATCATTTTGCTCTTTCAATATAAGAATCAAGAGGATAGTCTATTATTACCTATGATGCTAGGTTGAAGTTCTAAAATGACCTTTATAAATACCTAAGAAGTTCCTATTTGGCTCCTTAAAGCTGTTTGGTTTCTAACTCAGTCCACATTTAGCAGTACTTAACCATTTTTATTTATTCTTATATAATAGGAATAACTTTGATCTCCCAACATATGGTAAGTCTATCTATCTAGTGCATAACTTCAGTCTGAGTTCTGACAGCTATGGTAGAGAGGTGTAAAATATGTCAAATTGTCTACAAATGCTCTGGAAGTTATGTGAACTTTAATTAGACAATCAGCTGCTTTAAACTATATATACACAGACACACACACAATAATACACTTATGTATGTATATGAGATTTGTAGATTCTGTATATATACACATACATTAATTGATGTTTTTATTTATATATATAAGTTATTTTAGGAAATGAAAACATCAATTATACACACACACACACACACACACACACACACACACATATATATATATATATATATATATATATATATATATATATAAAAGTTATTTTAAGAAATAAAAACTTCAATTATTAAATATTGGGGCAAACATGAATGTCATTTGAAAAAAGTCAAAGAAAGGAAAATAAGACCAGTTAAAAACCTCAGGTCATCAAAGAATTTGAGTATCCATGCCTTGTTGCTTCAATTTTTTTTTGACTTGGAGAAGTAATAAGGCTTCTCTTCATTGTACTCATCAAATACTCCCCAGCGGAGATGGGCCCACTCATGAACCAACACTCTACCTGTGGGAAAACATTTTCAAATATACAGTTATATCAGGTGACAATTTTTCCTGTTAAATATTTAACTGTCAACATTTAATGTTTTTTAAATAATATATCATATGACATTACAGTTTATTACAAAATACAGCATATCACTATTTTTTAATTACACAAGTTTGATAAAGAAAACATTTTTTTGAGTATTTTCATGGACCCCAAAA